GAGGACACTGGGGGCTCTAGGCCTGACTTTATCTCCCCTGCTCAGGCTGGCCCCTGAGTCCCATGGTGGTCCCAGGAAGAAGCCAGCTTATTATCAGAGCCCCTGTCAGTTTTCAGTCTGATTCTCCTGGGGGGGTCATAATTAGGGTGACCAGACGTCCCGATTTTGGCGGCACAGTCCCGCTTTTCAACAATTTGTCCCGTATCCCGCGGTGTTTTTAAAAAGTCCCGATTTTTGGAAAGAATGCAGGAATGGGCGGGAGAACAAGAAGGGAATATACGGTTTTCGGCTGCCATGTGGCTATTTTGCCAGAATATGAGTTTTATATTATTTTTGTTAATTTTATAATGTTAAACTGTAATAAATAATTGCTGAGAAGTGATTATCGAGAACTGCTTATCAAAGTTTGCCTTGTTGTCAGGCCCTGCCCGGCGCCATCGCCCCTGCCCCGCCCCCGCCCCCCACCCCCGCCATGTTTTCCCGCCTTACAGATGTTAGAAAATGGTCATCCTAGCCAAAATTCACAGTTCCCCTTTGTAGGTCTCTATGTCTGGGCTGTTGCCTCCAGGCTGGTTGTGGTTTCTTCCTGCTGCTCTGGGACTGCAGCTGCCCTGGCCCTGCGGGAGGAGGGTGTTGCCACTGAGTCATTGCGTGGGCATCTGGGCCTGGAACCACAGTGAGTCACCTAGCCGTGGGGGAGGGGATGGAAGAAATGGAAAGAAGCTGCCTGACATCTGGCATGTGGAGGGCACCTGGGCCCAGAGGAAGGGCGGTGGCCAGACTGGAGTTGGGATAGACAAAGGCCCAGAAAAGAAGGAGGCCCTGGGAAGGGTATACTAGGCTGGGCTGTGAATGGCTGAGTGGCTGGGGTGTTTGCCTTTCTCTGGGGCTGTGGTCCTGGCTGGACCTCTGCCTCAGGCCTGGCCTCCAGACTTGGAAGCTGTCCAGCTCCATACTTCTGCCCAAAGTACCCTACCCACTCACCCATCCTGTGCCTGGAACAGAGGAGGCCAAAGTTTTTCTCCTCACCCTTTGCCACCTGAGGGCTTCCTTACACTTCGAATAGACTCCTGCCCCCCTAATGGTGTGCAGAGCAACTCCACTTCTCACAGCTTCCCTGTCCTTCTAGACCCCTTCCCACCCACAGGGGCCTGTCTGCTGATGCCTTGCTTCTTCATGCTGTGCGGTGCGGATGGACTCTCTGGTAGGTTAGTTCTGGAAAGTTCTTTTCCCATCAATGTAGCTGTCACTCCAAGTCACAGCCTTTGACCACTGCCATTGTGCTTAGGGCTGTGGGCTAGGCATGTCACCAGTGCTCCTGCCTGGGAGGGCAGAGGCAGAGAAGTCCAATCTCCAGTCCCAGGGGCCTTCTACTCAGTGGGTTCCAACTCCATCCCCACCAGAAACCTTGACAGAGGGTATCTGAAGATGCAGGAAATATTCAGGGTTACCTGTAACTATCTCATCTCCCCAGCATGGGGACAGAAGGAGACTTTGAAAACACAAGAATATGCTCAAAATTGAGCTTGTGATGCAATGGTGACACCACTGAAATCCTTTGTTTTGGTGGGTTACTTTTTTTTTTTTTTAAGAGTCTCATTTTGTTGCCCTCAGTAGAGTGCTGTAGCGTCACAGCTCATAGCAACCTCCAACTCCTGAGCTTAGGCAATTTTCTTGCTTCAGCCTCCCAAGTAGATGGGACTATAAGTGCCCTCCACAACGCCTGGCTATTTTTTTTTTGTTGTTGTTGTTGCAGTTTGGCCGGGGCCGGGTTCAAACTCACCACCCTTGCTTGGTATATGGGGCCGGCACCCTACTCACTGAGCCACAGGTGCTGCCCTTGGTGGATTACATTTTAAACTCTTTACTCATTGTTTCTGCCAATAATTTGTAGTAGAAAGCTAATAAGACCAGCAAAATACATGAAAAAGGCCTTTCATCTTGTGTCTACTGTGCACACTCAGTTACCTCATTACCTCATTAAGAAGTATTCTGGGGGCTGGATGTGGTGGCTCACATCTATAATCCTAGCACTCTGGGAAGTCCAGGTAGGTGGACTATCTGAGCTTATGGGTTTGAGCCCAGCCTGGGTAAGAGGGAGACCTTGTCTCTAAAAATAGCCAGGGTGGCTTGGAGCCTGTAACTCAGTGGCTAGGGCGTCAGCCACATACACTGGAGCTGGCGTGCCTGCCAAATCCAGCCTGGCCTGCCAAACAGTGACAACTACAACCAAAAATAGCCAGGGGTTGTGGAGGGCTCCTATAGTCCCAGCTACTTGGGAGGCTAAGGCAAGAGAGTCGCTTAAACCCAAGAGTTTGAGGTTGCTGTGAGCTGTGATGCCACATCACTCTACTGAGGGCCACATAGTGAGACTCTGTCTCAAAAAAAATAAATAAAAAAAAATACAAATAGCTAGGCATTGTGGTGGGCGCCTGTAGTCCCAGCTATTTGGGAGGCTGAGACAAGAGGATTGCTTGAGCCCAAGAGTTTGCAGTTGCATCGAGTTGAGATGCCACAACACTCTACCAATGGTGACAAAGTGAGACTCTGTCTCAAAAGAAAAAAAGAAGTAACTTCACTCCCTCAACTCCTGAGGTCAGCCCTGCCCTCTACCTGTTGCCCTCAGCTGCCTTCTCTGACCCCCAGCTTCTTAAGGGTGGCCCCAGACTGTTTCTCTCTCTCTCTCTCTCACACACACACACACGGACACACATCCACACACGTATCATAGGCATATCACATGTATACATGCTGTGAACTCTTGGCATGTGCCTGCAGCCTCTGACACGGAGGGGCTATGACTCACAGGCATGTCATGAGAATGGGCCTGGCAGGAGATAGTCCATCAACCCTGGCTTGGGCTGCTGTGTACCCATGACACCTCCCATTTCTCTAGATGGCTTGGTTTGGCTCCAGGGCTGCCCTGGGCCAGGTCTAGAGCCCTCCTCTAGGTGTTGGTAGACCAGGCAGTCCTAGGAGGGAGGGGGCCTGGAGGGAGTGGGTGGGGGTGGCCAGAGGTATCAGGTTAAGACAGGTTTGGTTTCTCAAAATGCCAAGTTGGGGGATGGTGGGGCTGGTATATAAATCCCCAGCCTGGGTGCCTGGCCACTTTGTTCTCCTTTCTGGGGCTCTCTCTGTGCGGTCTAGTCTGGTGAGTACCTCTGTCCTGCTGAGGTCTGGGTGGGGAGGTCTCTGCCTTTGTCCCTCTGCTTTGATCTTCATCCCCATAGTTTTTTCATTCTGGCTTTCTTGGGTGGATCAGGCTAGGGCCTTTCTGGGTCTTTCCACTTTACAGGATCTTCTGTGAAGTATCAGGTCATAGAAGGGTCTTTTTCCAGGTTTCTCTGTGAGATCTTAGAACAGGGGTTACTCTGAGGCCCTCTGTTAGGTCTCTCAGTCTCCGGGCAGGTCCTTCCTTGGGGGTACTGTAACCGAGTCCTGAGTTTACATGTAGGGCACTGTAACAGAGTCCTGAGTATACCTGTAGGGGAACTGTAACAGAGTTCTGAGTTTACATGTAGGGGAACTGTAACAGAGTCCTGAGTATACCTGTAGGGGCACTGTAATAGAGTCCTGAGTTTACATGTGGGGGTACTGTAACAGAGTCCTGAGTATACCTATAGGGGTACTGTAACAGAGTGCCGAGTTTACATGTGGGGATACTGTAACAAAGTCCTGAGTTTACATGTGGGGGTACTGTAACAGAGTCCTGAGTATATCTTTAGGGGAACTGTAACAGAGTCCTGAGTTTACATGTGGGGGTACTGTAACAGTCCTGAGTATACCTGTATGGGTACTATAACAGAGTCCTGAGTTTATATGTGGGGTACTATAACAGAGTCCTGAGTTTTCATTTCTGTTTTTTCCCCAAATCCTGGATTCTAATAGGAGTAAGGTGCAAGAGGGGTTCTCAAGTACACAGTTCTCCTGGGTATGGGCAGGGGTTTGCCATAGGGAAGGTGGGGTGGCAAGACATCCCAGGACTTTTCTTGCCTCTGGCATCAACTTCTCTGGCCACACCGGATCCTGCCTAACCTTTCCAGGCTGGTCTGAGCATTCTTGGAAGCAAGTCCTCTGAGGACTATCCCACCTTTTTTTTTCTGAGACAGAGTCTCACTCTCTTGCCTCACTTTTTTTTTTTTTTTAATTTAACTTTTTGGTCGGGGCTGGCACCTCCAGCATATGGGGCTGGCACCCTACTCCTTTGAGCCACAGGCGCCACTCCCCACTTTTTTAAAAGACAGATTCTCACTCTGTTGCTCCAGGCCAGAATGCCCTGGCATTAGCCTAACTCACAGCAACCTCAAAGTCCTGGGCTCAAGTGATCCTCTTGCCTCAGCCTCCTGAGTAAGCTGAGATTGCAGGTGCCTGCCACAACACTTGGCTAGTTTTTCTGTTTTTAATAGAGATGGGGCCTCACTTTTGCTCAGGATGGTCTGGAACTCCCGAGCCCAAGGGATCCACCTGCCTCAGCCTCCCAGAGTGCTGGGGTTACAGGCGTGAGCCACTGCATCTGGTCTGGGAAAGGACTCTTTCAATGAGTGCCCCACTACTGGGGGTGGCCATGGCTACTGCCAGGCAGCACAGTGGCCCGGCTAGCTAGCCCATGGCTGTTCCCATGCTGCCAGCCCTTGGCACAGACAGGGGTCAAATGGGACCCTGTTCAGCCTGTCATTTCCCTTCCTATGGACACTCAAAAGGGAACCCTGTTGTCAAAGGTGTGTTCCTTGTGATTGGAAGACGCATGAGGCCCTGCCCTTGGTGACTCCAGACATGAGGGGAGGCTTAAGCATCTGTCTGCAGGGTGAGGGCAGGGGGCATGGCCCTGCACTGAGGGAGTCAGGGTCTGAGGAGCAGTTAGAGCCCCTGTCTTCCCATCAAAGACACTTTGGTAAGGTAGTTTGGGGCACAGGAAGATATGGGTCCTACAGGCTGGGATGAGGCCCCCAAATCCTTGGTGGTATCTTCCTTGTCTGTCACTTCTGAACCCCAGATCTGAGATGTCCAGTCCCCTGGAGCAGGCACTGGCTGTGATGGTCACCACCTTCCACAAGTACTCTGGTCAAGAAGGGGACAAGTTCAAGCTGAGTAAGGGGGAGATGAAAGAACTTCTGGAGAAGGAGCTGCCCAGCTTCGTGGGGGTGAGTAGGGGAAGGCTGGGGGTGGGACAGGCCCAGGGTGAGTATGGAGTGCCGGTTACACCTCTTCTTCCCCAGGCCCAGGGCACCCTGTGGGGCCAGCCCTTCCTCCCTCCCCACTTCTGCTTCAGGGCTTATGGTAGTGGGAGTGAGGTTGAGAGCTATGTGGTATGTTTGTCTGATCCTCTCACTGAAGAGGCTAGAAAGGGGAAGTGACTGGCCAAGATCACATATTATGCATGCTCTCTTTCCTTCTGACTGTCCAAGTTTGTTTGTTTGTTTATTTATTTATTTATTTTAGACAAAGTCTCACTCTGTTGCCTTGGGTAGAATGCCATGGGGTCACAGCTCACAGCAACTTCAAACTCCAGCTCAAGTGGGACTACAGGTGGTCTCTGCAACACCTGGCTAGTTTTCCTATTTTTAGTAGAGATGGGGTCTCCCTCTTCTTCAGACAGGTCTTGAACTACTGAACTCAAGTGATCCACCTAGCTGGGGCTCCCAGAGTGCTGGGATTACAGGCATGAGCCACCGTGTCTGGCCCTGACTCTCCATGATTAGGTGCCAAACTGAGAAAGTGCAGGGAGAGGAGAGCCCCTGACAACACGCACCTGGGACAGTCTGCAGGGAGGTGCAATCAGCTCTGAATTTGCCCCATGCCCTCATGGGTAATCCCAAAGTCAGGTCTTAGGCTTTGAACATAAGAGGTCCTTTTTTTCCTTTTATAGCTTTTGATTAAACTTTCTTTCTTTTTTTTTTTTTTGAGATAGAGTCTAACTATGTTGCCCTCAGTAGAGTGCAGTGGCATCAAAGCTCACAGCAACCTCAAACTCTTAGGCTTAAGCCTCAGACTATTTTTTTTTTTTTTGAGACAGAGTCTCAAGCTCTCCCCCTGGGTAGTGTGCTGTGACATCACAGCTCACAGCAACCTCCAACTCCTGGTCTCAAGCAAGTCTCTTGCCTCAGCCTCCCAAGTAGCTGGGACCACTGGTGCCTGCCACAACGCCTGGCTATTTTTTGGTTGCAGCCATCATTGTTGTTTTGGTGGGCCCAGGTTGGATTTGAACCTGCCACCTTAGGTGTATGTGGCTGGTGCCTTAGCCACTTGAGCCACAGGCGCCGAGCCAAGCCTCAAACTCTTGCCTTAGCCTCCCAAGTAGCTGGACCTACAGGCACCTGCCACAATGCTCAGCTATTTTTTTTTGTTGTTGTTGTTGTAGTTGTCACGGTTGTTTAGCAGGCCTGGACTGGGTTCGAATCTGCCAGCCCCAGTGTAGGTAACCACTGAGATACAGGTGCCGAGCCTCTAATCATTTTGGTTGGTATCAAAAAGTGTTTGCCTTTTGTGAGTTTACCTTGCTGGTGAAGGAGAGCAGGTGTTGCTTAGGGGCCCAGGGTCTTCCTCATGCCTGGGAGAGGGGGCATGCTGGAGACTCACTAATGAGTGTCCTTCAGCCCATACTCACGGGCCCTCTTAGTAGCTCCCCGAGCTCCCTGTCCTGTGTGCCCACCTGCTGGCCTGTGAGTCTGTGTGGGCTCTGGGTGTTTGGTGTGGAGTTGGGCTAGGGCTGGCTTACATTGACCCTGTTCCCTCTTGCTTTCAGGAGAAGGTGGATGAGGAGGGGCTGAAGAAGCTGATGAGTGACCTTGATGAGAACAGTGACCAGCAGATGGACTTCCAGGAGTATGCTGTATTTCTGGCCCTTGTTAGCACCATGTGCAATGAATTCTTCCAGGGCCACCCAGACCAGTCCTGAAGCAGAGCCCTTGGCTCCCTGCCATGGATGGAGCTCTCAGTCTGGGACTGCCAATCCCTTTTGGTTTTGTACTCAATACACTTTTTTTTTGTTTGTTGATGATGTTCTAACTGCTTAGCGATGTCCCACAGCCCGACTGGCTTAGTTGGAGCCCTGGGAACCAAGTGTCTCCTGTGTCCTACTCCGTTCTGAGTCCTGAGTCACCTGAAAATCTCTCCAAAGCCAGAGCTATGCCTTAGGTCCCAAAATTGGAGTTCAAATACCAGTAAAAAAGAAAAAAAAAAAAAACCCACAATGCCAGTAAAAAATTTGGAAATTAAGATGGGTTGCCAACATTTTATTTTGCCAAATAAGGATATTAAAAAAGGCAAATAACACCAACTTTCACTATCATTTCATAAAAAGAGAGAATCTCAAAAAAAGCTGTTCAAATAGAGAAGGAAGGATATAGTCTGATGACAAAGAACAGATTAGAGCATTCGTTACTGTGAGCAATGAGTTGGCCCTAGGACCTACTCAAGAGGTGTAAATTAGCCAACTCCACAAAGCTTTGTTTTAAGGACTCCTTGTCAGATTACAGGCCATAGGCAATGCTGTGGTTTGAGTGTGTCCCCAAAGTTCATGTGCTGGAAGGTTGGCCTCCAGTGCAGCAGTGTTAAGAAGTGGGATGTTTGGGCGGCGCCTGTGGCTCAAAGGAGTAGGGTGCCAGCCCCATATACTGGAGGTGGTGAGTTCAAACCCAGCCCCGGCCAAAAA